GATGCCAGTAAAATATTAATTTGGGACGGCTTGATTGCAGTTTTTTCCACGTTGATGGTGAGAGTATATGTTTATATGTTAATTCAGATACCTTCGAGTTACTTAAAACAGTCTTTCTAGCTCCAATAGCTATTTATGTTTTTATCTTCAATAGGATGAACTTGAACTTGAAAAACAAAGTGCATTAAGTACACGATGAGCACGATGAGCAAGCACAAGGACAAGGACATGAGTAAACGGTGATGAATCAATTAACAACCTTGCTAAAAGAGGATAATCCGACTCCTCTCTTAGGATAAAAAATTCAGGACTCTTCCTCTTTTTTTTTGGGGAATTTGTCGAAATTAAAAAAACGGGTCGCAATTAGGTTGTAACAATCATCAAAAGTTGCAGTCGGTATCTTTACCTATGATCAGAAAATCTTTCCACCATTGCTATGTTCAGGAATTGTAATTACTAAAATAAATCTGTATAGGCGTAAAAGGGATAGTTTTAGTGTTGGCTGATCAACAGAACCGTTTTTTGTTAGCACATTTTCATATGCACAATGTAAGGTTTTAATTTGCACATTGCTTGATTTTTTAATTATATATTCACTTCAAAGCTGTGCGTTTATCAGTTAATATACTTTTATAAATTGAAAAAGATCTTTCAACATCAACACTGGACACAGGAAATTTCATCAACAGTTATACTAATCATTTTATATTTATTAAATTTTTTAATTTCTGTACTTCAAATTGGCAAATATTTTTCTCAAAGTTGATTTGAACCTACAATATAACCTCCTAGGAAATAATAAAAATAAAAATAAATGATGATTTACATTAAAATATTCAAATTAAATTATTTTAATTTTTTTTGATATGAAAATTTTCTTACCATTCTTATAATATCAATTAAAAAAGACTTTAATTTATCTATTTTATCCAGGGGAATGTCAGCTTTAGTAAATGCTTCAATAATTGCAATATTGATATTGTCACGATTATTATTAGTGAAAGAAAGCAAAGAGCTTTGTAAAGGTTGTGGATTATTTTTGTGTTTTTGTTCAGCAGTTTTATGTTTCGCTGATTCTATATGGTTATTAACAATTGATTTTTTTCATGATTTATAGTATGGTTACAAAAACGACAATATAATTTCCCAGTTTCAACGTAAAAATGATTATTATAATGACTTTTTTTCCTCGAACGTTCTAATGCAGACCATTTTTCATTCTATAATCTTAATTGAATTGTGGCCTATATTGATTGGCTAATTTAATATACACATAGATTATGTGATTATGCCAAAAAATGTTCAAATTATGCTCGATTATGCTCAAAAATTAAAAAGTGTGCAGCGATTTATGCGAAAGCATCACTGATCGAGATTATTTAAGGAGGTGTCGATCATCAAAAAATCTCAAATAAATAATCCACCCACCCATCGTCTTTCTATAATTATTAATATAACAAACCGATTTTCTACTTATATAATTTTATACGGGATAGTAATCACTCTTGAATCCACAAATATACATTACATAAATATAATAATAACAGTTGACAAAACAAAATAACCTTTGAATTGGAACACAAAAATATTTATGTGGAAGGTATGAATGTTCTCAATGATTAATAATACTATCTACTCTATAACGAATAGGTAATTTTGTGTCTCTATTTACTATAAGGAGTTTGTTGGATGTTGATTTTAAAAAGGCAAAGAAGTAACTATTTTAATTTGTGACAAAAGATAAGTATTTTATAATTGATTTTATTTATATAAAGGGAGTTAACTGTATAACTAACTGTATATTATATATCTTTGATTATTGGAACGATGGTTAATGCAGAAAGAAAAATAGTGGATTACTTGAATACAGTATAAAAAAAAAATTTTATGTTATTGAATTACTGGTATTGACTATTCTTCCCAAAAATTCATCGATTTTGACTCTGATAATCAATTCAAACCTAAAATTTTTAACTAAAATCGAAATCCAAAATCGAGATCGTAATTAAAAGTTGAAGTTGGTAAATCCAAATTTCGAGTGTAATTATTATCAATTGTCATGGTTGAAAATATAAAGGTATCTATTTATTTATTCACGATTGATTTTATTTAAATTTCGATTTTGATTTCCTAATTTCACCATCATTTTATGGAGACAAATACCAAAAATATCAGTTGTAATAATAATTTTGTAAATGACACTTTAAACTGTATAAATTAAATTTAGCTGTATGTTTTGGCGCCGTTTGTTTGTTGAAGAGTCACAATGCATTACTTTAACTGACTTAAAGTGGATAGTAAATGATAAATATGATGTATAGACGAATATCTAGGATATATTATTTGATCCGTCTAAATTATATTATATTTTCGATTCGATAGAATTATCATTTAGATTTTGAAAAAGATTTCTTGTCTCGTAATGTCTTTTCAAAATTTTAAAGAAGTCTTGTTCAATATAGTTGTCGCATTTCATGGGATTCATGAATGCAATCATTAGTTCAAATATATCTTCTTCCTAATGATCGACGATAATTTTCGCTATTATTGAATCTGTTTACAAAGGCCCTGATCAGTGTATAAAATTCAATTCCCGGAATGCTCGCATATTACGTTACATATTAATAGAATCTGTACTATTTTTCAGTTGAATTTTCAACGCTGTCTGGTCCAAATAGTTCGCATAGATTGATGAAAACAAAAATCAATTTGATTATTAATCGTGACACCGTTTCAGAGATAAAGATGTTAACTAAATATGGGAATCAATTGCAGATAATTTCCATAGGAATATAGGGGCATTCAGCATGGTACAACTGTAATAAAAATCTAACATGCTTCCTCAAAAGGGATTAATGGACCCATACCATACGTTCTACGAGGGTTATACCATACTGAAACTCTCCCTACCGGAATTTCCTTCTAACACTGGTACGGATTACATAAGCTCTGAGTCATTTAATTTCAGGAAGTGTAATACAATGAATATTTGTAATAAATAAAGATATTCAGGTATTCATAGTGTTTCCAAGTACTCGTGATGTTTACAATGCTCGTAACGCTTTCAAATATTTCTAACGCTTATCGTGTTATATATTGAGATTGGCAATGAAGGGATAAATCCGAATCCTTCGTTAAAATCTTATTCGAGCAGTGCAGCATATTTATAATCCATCTTGTAAAAAACCTAAAATGCATAGAAGGCTTAAAGATGGCTTTATCTAGGACTACTAAATGAAGAGAAAGGTGGAAGATATAGGGTTTATCAAGTAAAAGAATCAATTCTTCTCAACCACCTAGAAGGTGCACATAATACTAATTCAATTAATCAATAAAAATTTTAAAGTTTGATAATTAAAATATTCAACCAATTATCAAATATAAATATATCTCAAACCTTTATGCCATGAGTGTAACTTTCTTAATTGCCACAAGTAGTTGAAAAAGATTACGAGATTTGAAAGCATTACGATACTTGGTACTTGAAAAACAAAAGTATTACGAATACTCGAAAACATTACAAATATGTTTAAATTTGAATATAATTATTTATTATTTTTATTATTAGGACATTTGTATTTTACCAATAAATGTTCGATTTTCAAACTTCCCATAAAACCATACTAATTTTTGTCGTGGCCAAAAATTTTTTGTGTCTCGGTAATATTAACAAATAATATCAGTTTTCAAATATATTTACGCCAAAAAATTGTTACACGAAATTATGTATTGATTTTCATGTTTTTCAACCTTAATATTATTTATTACACCAATCAATAACATTGTTGTTTTGCATGTTACACAGAAAATAAACATACACTAATACCATTTGTCATTAATGCATAAGATTAAACATGTTTTTTAACTTAAAATATTTATAAATAAACATCACGTACTACCAACAATAATAACGAAGTTCCTTCAAATAGTAATTATATTACTCAATAATATACCTAATTTTGATGGACAAAAAGAATTTTATCAATTCTTTGTAAAGAAGTAAAATTAAAATTGTTCTTCATATAGTTTTTTAAAAACCTTAAAATTGTAACTCCACGTGTCTGTCTATTCGTGATGCAGATGGACTTTCGAAGATTACAATAAATAATCCGAAATTCTTTTTAAAGACTATTTTGCTCTCTGTAAAAAGTACGGTAGGAGCGGCTCTGAAACGATTATTCACTCTAAGAGGTGACAATTATTAAGCTGGCAAAATTTCAAGAACATAAATGTAACCGATCGGCTATTGTAAAAATAAAGAAAAAATTTGGTTACACGATTTGATAATTGGCTGCAGGGTTGAAAGTACTTTGAAAAAAGAGAAAACACATTTAAATCCAAATAAGGAAAAAAATCATGCCATAGGGGTTACTGACTAGCCCATTTTGGTTAAATATTTTAAATATTGTAAATTATTTCCTAAACAGAAAAAATCAATGGTCCTGCTTTATTAGATCAACGTAGCACAGATCATGATTGATATTGTTTAAAAAAAATTTTTTTCAATCACGCTCTTTTTAAATTAGAATAAAGGATTCCCTGACAGTCAAAAGTCGTAAGTATGACTGGTATTAATTGGTATTGGTTAAAAATGCGTTTTGCACGCTGTACAAAATGTATTTTAAATTAAATAATCGGATTATAAATGATTTCAAGTTATCATTGACGAATTTTGCTCTGATTTAAGAAATTTAGTAATTGAACTTGTTTACTCGATATTTTTCCTAAGAAGAATGCACACATTAGCGTTCGCTCGTGTAAAATTATTATTTTTACTGTGAAAAATAAACAAAATATTTTCATGCTACATTAATCCTAAATTGTTAACAACTTTAAAGTGTAGAATATAAAAAATCGAACGTTAAGTCATAACAATTTATTATTTATATTATCTCATAAAATAAAAAGAATGAATACACTTATTTAATAATTTTTTAAATTATAAACATATCTATAAATTTAATACATAAATTAAATCTTATAATTGTGAATGATTTTTATCATATTGTGCTTAATATTGGAACTAATGATTCAGATTCAAAATAGAAGCTGAAAATTCAAAAGAGTGAATCACTCACTGTTAGTTGCGCCCATGTAGAAATTTTGATCCCACGGTATACTGTTATTATTATTACTACTATTATTAATAGTAGCGTGAATTGAAGATGATGATGATATTGACGTTGGAAATGGTATATTTTGTGAAAAGTTATTGTTATTATTAGTTGTTAGATTATTCGGTGTAAATAGTGCTGATGCAATTAGTGATAGTGGTGGAGTTGAAGTCATAGTAAATAAATCCTTACTATTGTTGACAGCTGATGATAATAAGGAAGACGATAAAGCAACAAATTTGGGCGATGGATCTTCCACATCACTACCAAGACTTGTTACACATAAATTATTATTATTATTGTCATTTGGATTTGGGTTTAGACTTGCTTCCGTTATTGTGAGACCGCTATTTTTAGCATCATTCTTAAGCATTGTTGTTGTTTCAAGTGTATTGGAATTATAATCGATATTGGGCAATAAAGATGATGACGATAAAGGCGATGACTGTGATGATGAAGAAGTTGATGATAATAAATTGGTAATATTTGCTATATTATTAATATTATTATTATTAAAATAATAATTGCTAAAAGGTTCATTTAATTGTAAATCATCACTATTTTTTTGTAGATTAGATATTTTTGCCACTGAAGCAGCTATTACATCTAATGTTGTCACCAAACTATTATTATTATTATCACCATTATTATTAGATACATGTTGAGAATGGAACGTCAAAAGTTGATTCAGGAATGGAAGCGGAATGGGTAATTCGCCATTTCTACTATTACTTACATTAGTGAATACCAAAATTCTTTCCACCTCCTCAATAAGTTTCTTCATCTCATCAGCACAACCCAAACTGCAAATTTCTGCTATCAATTTAAACTCCTCAAATGTATCAATCAACGCTTTTGCTGCTTCGCCAGATGATGGGTCATCCTTTTCTCTGCTAGTAATTATAACCACTTCAGTTAAAATCGACTGCAAGAGGAATGGAAATGGCAACACGAAATAATGAAATGCTGTTTTATCATGATTTCTTGTTTTTTTAGCTATGTCAGTAATAGTTGTTGCAGCTGTCAAACAAGTTTTAATTAGATCAACGTTTGTTTGAGTTAATGATGATGGATCATATTTATTGGAAGTCTTAGACGCATGATGCTCATGCATCTGTTGTTTGGTTGCTATCGTTGTCAATGATGATCTTGTAAGATAAGGTTGATGTAATAATAAAATACAAGCATGAAAATGAATGTTAATATAACCAGCAAATACTGAGAAAGTGGTCATTTGGAACAAACTTCTTGGATCCTCATTTGGCAGATACTGGTACTGCAATTCATCAGGCAACTCTTTCAACCATTTTGCCAATGAAGATCTAATTTGCCTCAATGAGCTTTTTGGATCCATCACGTGATTATGCCAATTTTCATAATTGACTTCTGATTTAGTGGAATAGCAAAGTTTCCAAATCTGACCAATGATATGTGATAGTTTTATGAATGCAACAAAAAAATTTTTAGTTGGCCGATCGAAATTTGGTAATGTTGGCAGTGGTATGTTGATGTCCATGTTTTTGAGTTTGTATGGTTTTCCCAGAACGAATGAAGTCCATCTATCGTGAATGTAGACGCAATAAAAGATTCTATGCCTTTCTTCCTCTTCCCCTGGTGTCAATGAATTATCTACGCGTTCAAGTTCCAAGAAATTTGCCATTGTGACTATGAAATATGAATGCAAGAATATGAATGTGAGTATGATGAACATAAGAATATTTAAATTTAAATACGTTGTGAGCATTATATACATTGGACGTACCGGCCATATTAGAAAACATTAAAGCGCTATTAAATCTTGAAATAGCCCTTTCGGAACTTGCTAGAAGCAACAAAGATTGAATAGTTTCTAATTTAGGCTCATCATATACCGAATCCAAAATTTTCTATACTCAAGCAAAATATAATTAATTACAAATATTAAATTAAATTCAAATGATTAATCACATTTTAATTATTTATTACCTTTGCAGCATCAAAGAACACACCGCCAGGTTTGTTTTCGGTTTTTTGAATTGATGGGTCGTTAGATAATTTCGAAGCAGCAAAAGCCAAAGTTGAATAGATCAATAGTTTGGAGTGGACGGGTTTGTCTTTTCTCAGCCAAATATCAGTGAATTTTCTTTGATCAAGAATTGGTATTATTGGATTTAATTTTGTGAAATAGCCTTGCAACAACTTTTGACATAATTCTTTGGATGGTGGTGAAGGTTGCGATGAAGAAAATATGGATGGTGGTGAAGGAGATGATGATGACGACGATGATGATGACGGCGGAGATGACGATGACAATGGAGATGACAATGATGACGAAGTTGACGAATTATTATTACAATTTGGAAGAAAATTATTGTTGATTGGATCGTTAATATCCAAATTGGAATTATTTCTAGGCAATTTGCTTAATTTATCTACTAATTCTACGACGTCATTAGGAAAAGTACGATTCAATAGCGTGGATAAAGGTGATTTGATATGTTTTTCTTCGATTTTTGGACTTGTTAAAATCGGAAAATCAAGAATGATTGAATTATCTGAAGAAGGTGATGGTGAATAAGGTTGTGGCTTGTTGTTGTTTGAAGAGAAGTGTGACAATTTGTTGTTATTATTATTATTATTATTGACATCTTTTGATTGTTGTGTTAAAACATTTTCAAGAATTAAATCAATATTTTTTTCGATTCTATGAATATCACTTTTAGTAAAGATTTGTTGTTCTTGTTGAGGACTTGATGTCGACATTGATGAATTTAATTGTAATTGTGGTTGTTTATGACGAAGGTTATCATCATCATTTGGATCATTTACGGGAGGAATAATATCCAAATCTGATAATAAACGATGACGATGCTGTTGATAAAATTGTTTTGATATAAGTTGCTGTTGTTGTATTATATCAATGTTATTAATGTTGGGAATGGTTGCGAAGTTAGAGGAATATGGTGATTCAGATAGACAAGTTCGCTTGGCCGAATTTAAAGGTAACATTTATTTTTGTTATGAGATTTTTGAAAAAAAAGAATATTGATTTTTTTTTTTTTAATGGGAAATAACGTTCTCTTTTATACGACAATTGATAGCCCTGATTTTATACGACAGTAATATAACGTGCATAAATAAAAATATTATTCTATTGATGATAACATTTATACTTGAATCTTAGTGTTTTTATTTGAAAATAACAACAACATTAGATGATATAAATGCATGACGTTATACGCCACAAAACACATAGGCACTATGAATGTCTTGAGATGAAAAACGTGAAGCTTTGTCTAATTATTTCAATCTTTCTATTATATTTAAAGGGAAATATTATATACTGAAAGGTTCTTTTTACAGAACCCTACCAAAATAGCAATTTATTCTATAAAAAAGGAAACCATAGCTCAATTTTTGTCAAATATGTGATTATTAAATTTGTATGCTGGAGGTGTCAGGAATTACACAGTGTTTACCAACTCTAAGAATTAATTGGATTAGTTCTTATTTGTCACGTATATTTCATAAAAAGAACCTTTCTGTGCTGTATAATATTAAAATAATGCAATAAGATTTTGTATCACAAAGAATAAAAAACCTTATCGAATCGTAGTAAGTTCCTTTTTTAATATTTTTAATATTAAAAATGTCAAAATTGATTCATTGTTTTTTTGAGATAATACGCCAGCAATACTTTATCTATTTTATTTTTTTATTTATAATACGATGGTTTAGATTTAATTTATTAAGGCAACACTTCTTTACCAAAGCCTCGGTTCGAACATATTATTATTACATGTATAATAAAAAAAAAGAATGCAACTTGACATGTTTATAGATTTGTTAATTTAATAACACAAGTCCACATGGTATGATTGTGTAATAAAGAACAAAGGAATTGAAGATGTCATTGAAGTAGCCGATGGAAAATATTTCGTTAATATTATTTCTCCTAAATGATGAAATTTTGCATAATATTATGAATCTATACTACATTGAATGTTGAACCATCTTCGATCCCTAATGTAAATTTTTCACAATAATAACGCGCGATAGTTAATAAAAAAATGAATTGGAGAACAAATAAAGTTTGTCGTAATTGAAACCCACTATATGAACTTTGGTCGCGATGAAATAAATTCACTCATAGACACAAAAAAAATTTTTTATTGGTATAGAATAATAATAATAATAATAATAATAATAATAATATAATAATAATAATAATAATAATAATAATAATAATAATAATAAT